CATTTTTTAGATTTCCCCCTGTAGGCCCCAGAGTCACCTCCCACACTGTTCTGGAGAAAGTTAGCATGCCAGAGGGAAGAGCATAATCTTCTAATGTGCTGGCATTTCACTGTCAAATAGTTCTTTAAAATAATAGGTAGAGAACATACAAGGACCCATTCGTCATTCTCATAGTAGATACAATATATTTCCTATGATTAAGGTGTTTTCTGCCCGTACACGAAAAATGTACATTTTCAGCTGATACAACTTTTTCTCTCCCCCTCTTGTATTTTTCAGTTGTTCTTCCAAGAAAGCCAAATCTGTTCTGTGTAGTTTTTTACCTATTTTTACATGGCTCCCCCGCTATCCAGTGAAGGAGTATTTGCTGGGAGACATTATCTCAGGAATAAGCACTGGGGTCATGCAGCTTCCTCAAGGTTAGTGAAATTTAACTTTTAAACTTTAGTCTTCTTTTTGGAATCTTCAGAACAGCCTTGAGAGATCTTTTGGAGACAGTCAGCTTCCAGCTGATTGTACAGTCACTTTTCATGAGGGTGTCACATGCCTTCTGGGGATGCATAATGCAGTACACCTCATATGTCGGTCAACTGAGGTGTTGCATTCATCTAATGGGAATAAACCTCCTCCGTTTTCACAATGGAAATATCTTGTTTAAAAGTCCTCCTGTATGAAAATTGTGTATTTCTGTAATAAAGTCAACAATTTTGTCATCACAATGACTACCCTTTGAGGGTAGTGCATTTAACTAGTGCATTCACACTGGTTAAAACATGTCGGGCTTCGCAGTTGATGGCCTGCAGTAGTGAGTGAAGCTATTTTGCTGAATTAGTTTAATATTCATCCTTTATAGGATTTTTGGTGACTCTTAACGTGGCAAGCCCCGATGACACACAGACTTTTGACTCCACAATCTATACCACCATCAGATTATGTCCTTATTTTAGTACATGTAAGCAAGCAGAATAAATAATTAAGCTGAGTGAACAACAGATGTGCAGGTTTTTTTGCATAATAGTTCCCCCTCTTCTTGCCATTTTTTCCTTTTGCTCTCCCAGAGTGAATTCAAATCTGAGTGAATATTGGACTGGCTGATTCTAAGAAGACTCATGGGAGCAATTCCTACATAAAAGCATATACTAGTTGTATTTTAAGGACTAGCATGTACAGGCTCTAAGGCTAAAATTGCCCCCTGCCCCTGCTCTGATGAGGTCTGCTTGCCTTCCCCAGTTGCTACCTCATTGGCAAGTGGAGCAGGGCAGAGGAGCAGTGGCTGAAGCCCTGGGAGCTGGTTGATGGTTCAGTTTGGGTTCACCACTTTCTTCTCTTCATATTATTGACTGCCCTGCTAGTTATTGATGAAGGATGTATTGGGGTGGGGGAGACTGTACATTGTGATTGTCTGGACACAGTATCTGTTACCAATGTGGCATGTATATGAACATTTTTTTCATTTGAATAATTAGTGTTGAATCTGAGTTCATTTCACCAATGCTTCTCTTTCTCTCTCTCTCTCTCTCTCTCTCTCTCTCTCTCTCTCAGGATTAGCTTATGCATTACTGGCAGCAGTACCCCCAGTATTTGGCCTATATTCTTCATTTTATCCGGTCTTTCTGTACACTTTTTTTGGAACTTCCAGACACATATCAATAGGTAAATATTTTAGCATGCAAACGTTTGTTTTCTTTAAAGGTCAGATTAACAAAATGCACTTCTGCATCAGAAACTGTTAGATGCAACCCCAGATGAGTATTGCCCACTGTTCCATCTTCTTACTCGATACCATTTTTAAAATTTTGAAGTCAAATCTACTTATATTCATCATGCCAAAGTCACAGCTGCAGCACGAGGGCACAGAAGTGGCCCATAACCTCCATGCATCAACTGCTGCCCCAACATTTATTTGGCCCCATCTTAACTATGGCAATGGTGGGAAAGATGAGGTCCTCCAGATGTTGATGGATTCCAGCTTACATCAACCTCAGCCAACTTGGCCAGTGGTCACGGATGATGGGAGCTGGAATCCAACAATACTTGGGGGAGCAGAGTTTTCCCATCACTGTCGTACGTCCTTAGGCAGCTCACTTTTGTGCCATTTTAATTTCATTGTGTGTCAAATGTGATCACTTTTAATGGCTTGTAATTCAGCAAAGTTTCTGTGAGAACCAGGGTAGTGCAAATAAGTGTGGTGCTTTGAATACTCAAATGCTATATAAATGATGGTGATGATGATGATGATGATTAGCAAATATATTTTGCCTTGTTTTTGTCAACTCATTTTCAGTAACTGAAAGCTTCTCATTGACATTTGAATTCCTGTGTTGCAGGGCTTTAGACTAGATGGGCCCTCAGAGTCCCATCCAACTCTACAATTCTATGATTCTATGACATTGATGGAAATATTAATTCAGGCCCATAAAGTGGTGTTGGTCTGTGTACGTGTGTGTGTGTGTGTGTGTGTGTGTGTGTGTGTGTGTATAACTGCAATAAGGAAGATGATTAAATTTTCTTTTCAGAAGCTGAAATATGTGTGATCTAGCAAAAACATGTAGGCTTCCCTGGTAATAATAAACATGTATCTCCCATCAATCCACACTCTTGCAGGAACCTTTGCTGTAATCAGCCTGATGATTGGTGGAGTTGCTGTCAGAGAAGCCCCTGATGAAATGTTTGCCAATACATACACCAACTCTACTAATAACACAGATCTTGAAAACAGTGCCAGAGATGACATGAGGGTGAAAGTAGCTGTTGCAGTTACCTTGCTCTCAGGGATCATACAGGTAACGTCACTGTTGGTCTAGGAGCAGTTTTGAATATTGCTGCCCAAAAGATTTTAATATTGCTGTGCGGAACTCCACCTGAGTAAGCCCCTGGTTCATCCACCTGGTTTTCCATTCAGGATCTAAAATGGCATGGGATGTATCCTTTCAACCTACATTTTGGGGGAGTAGCTTCAGTCTGTGTTTTCGTGTTGGGCTGTGGAGTGAGGAGAACAAGGTATGCTGTTCTAGACTTACTGGCAAGTAACCAGGTCACGTAGTAAGCACAACTAGGTAGACTTTGTTCTCCTTTAAAAATAACATTTTATTCCAAGAAACATATAACTTGTGTTGCTTTCATTGGTCACATGGAGTGGCAAAGAAGTACGGAAGAGCCCGGGAGGTCTCATGACTTCCGGAAATCCTCGCAAGCCACCTTGGTTATAGGTGTCCTGTTATCACTTCATCCAACTTAAAGACAATAATTATTCCCTGCTTTCCTAAGACTTCTGCTGTTTATGCTTGCCGCTTCTATAACCACACACTGTGCAACCCACCAGAACATGCAAATCACACACTTATTAGACCTGGCAATCTTGACATGCTTCAACACTTTGGGCTGGGAGGTGTAGGAGCAGGCCTGCATGGTTGCAAGAGCTGACTTTGCTCTTGATGCAGTGTGCTGAACTTGGATTCTCTATGATACTGTCCTGTGCTGGCTTTTAAATGATGATTCCTTGAACATGGCTCTTCTCTCTTTTCATTAGTTGTGTTTAGGACTCCTTCGATTTGGATTTGTAGCTATTTATCTTACGGAGCCCCTGGTCCGGGGATTCACCACTGCTGCAGCTGTGCACGTCTTTACATCCCAATTAAAGTATCTGCTTGGAATTAAGACTAAAAGGTTCAGTGGACCCCTCTCCTTTCTTTATGTAAGTAACTATATCTGGAAGTTAAAGCACAAAAGGACCATTCCTTAGTGTTTATAGCCAGTTGGGGTTATAAAGTCTCTAGATTCACTGTCCATATCCACAAAGAAATATTAACCAGCTTTCAAATGGATCACTCATGGGTTTTGCCAGGGAATCTCTTCATTTTGTGAGGTTCCTCAGAAACTTCCCTTTCAGATCCTTCAGGCACCTAGAAGTGAGGGAGCAATGATGATTTAACCAGTGAAAGTTTATAGACTGTAGTGTAGACACAACCTAAAGAAAGACAGATTTTTCAGTACTCTGAAATAGTTATGTCAGTTATAAACATATAGCCTTCTGCTTTTGCTTCCTTTTCTTTGTAATGGCCACTAGCATAGATGGCTTTAAAAATAGAGTGGGCAGAGAATTGATTGATCAGTGGCTATTTAATATGACAGCTATATGGATCCTCAGTGTTCAGCGGTGGTACACATCTAAGTACCAGATGGTTTTTCATACCGTTCTCTGCTTTCAGAAGGCATTTGAGTTGAAAAGCAAATGATACATCTTCAAATAAATAAATCTTCAAGGGCATTTGTCTGGTTCCTCCTGGCATTGGTCTGCTCCAACAAGGCAGTTTTAATTTTAGTGTACCGTTGCAGACTATGAAGAAGTCAGATATTATTTGTGCCCAGTTACTGAGCTGACATTGATAGGTCTCGTATATAGCTTATATTATAGGAAACTATGTTAGTGTCAAGGCCAGTATACCTTTTGTTGGCAGCATACGAGCCCAAATTACCACTTTTTACACTGCAGCTGAAAAGAGGCAAGAGGTATGTGTATATAATCTGTTCCATAAAATCCATGCAGTCAGTGTTAGAAACAAATATGTGAAAGCTAGGAGCTAAATGGCACCTTAAGCCTAAGTTATGGGCACAACAATGGAATGTCTAGGTATTTTTTTTTAATAACAAGAATAGAAAGCTGACAATGAATGAACTGCAGCTAAAATATCATGCTCATTTTTCACATGTTCTAGTCCTTCCCCTGCCCACCCCCCTAATATTCTTAAGAGGGTCTCTTCTCCAGTCTTTAGAGAGTAGCTGGAAGTTCCTCCTTTCCTTCCACTGCAGTTTTAATCTGAAATCTTAGGTGCAGTACAGAACTCAGAAACGGCTCACGCTAATGTAATTCCCTGTAGCGTAATGCACCTAGAACAATGGGAGTTTCGAACTCTGCCTGCAGCTCTTTTGCCCCTGGCGAAGATTCCCAGCTTTTTGGGAGGAGGAGTAGAAGAATTGCAGACAATGCTGAACCTTGAGAAGGACCATAGCTCAGTAGTAGAACATCTGCTTTGCATTCAGAAGGCCCTGGGTTCAATCCCCAGCATCTCCAGTTAAGGCTGGAAAATAACTGTCTGAAAACTCTCAGAGCTGCTGCCAGCCAGTGTAGACAATATTGAGCTAGGTGGACCAGTGGTTTGACTTTGTACAAGGGAGATTCCTCTGTTCTTCCTCCCCAACGCCCAATTTTCTGATAGCCACCAGAAATGTAGATTGGCCCTTGACTGATAATTCTTCATGCTGCTCAGAATCTGAGACCATTGTTATGCTGGGTGATAGTGCCCTTCAGATGAAAAACCATTTAATTAGACAATTGGCAAGCAAAGCACTGCAAATCTACTTCCATAAAATCCCCACATTCCTGTGTATCTTCTGAAGTGATTTCCGCCCCCACCCCCCAGACAAAGTTCTACCAATCATAAATGGCTCAAGAGACATGCCTTTGGTGTTTTTGCTAAGGTTTGAATCTGGATTTTTTCCAGTAGAAATAGCAGCTTACTTGTGTCTCTTTAAACATTGGATTACAACAGTGTAAATGACAGAGGAAGAGCTACCAAGATTTGTCAGTATAAGCAAATGCAAACCAATTCCCCAGAACAGATTTCTTGATATTGGAGAACAGTCAAAGTGAAGCAATCATAGGGCTTTTCTGTAAGTTACTTTCCAAGAACTAAGATACCAGTAGCAAAATAAGATTTTAAAACAGAATGAGGAATACATGTGTCCAACACAGTTTGGGTCACTGAAGAATAGCAGTGGGGGGGAAATAAACTGATTTAAGCAAATTGTCACATAGAAAAGCCTTTACTAAGAATCTAGTAGTGTCCTTCAGCAGCCTTACATGGGTGATATCAGACTAACCAGATTTACTTTCTACAATTGTATTTGCAGACAGGGATTTATTTAGGATACCCCAACTCTATGCAACTTTTGCTTTAGCATTTCTGAGGCTGTGTGAAATATTTTTCTTGAAGGCCGTAAGCGCTAGTCAAATTGGCAAAACACAAATGCACACAAGCCACCATTTTTGTTTTCAAGTAATAATAGTGAGGGGAGGGAGGGAGTGGCTTTCTTCACTCTGGCAAAATGCCATTCATATTTATGTGACAGTAGTAAAACCTGGTTAAGCGAAACTTCATTGTGTTAATGGTTTTAACATTATTCATACATTTTAGGATTTGGGTAATTTGTTTTGATGTTTGCATTTGTCACTTAGTTATGACTTATGGTTAGGACAGTTTTTTAGATTTGAAATACTGAAGAGAAGCAACCAAAACCTTTGCCCAGGAATTTTGAGATCGAGCGTATTTAATACATCATGCTCTGCATGCGATTCTCCTGCAGCCCCTTGCCAACTTCTAGGAAAGATCACTGCTGCTTAATCAACACTGAATTTCATTGCTATGGTAACCCTGAAGGCCTGTTGGCAGCTCCCTGCCTGTAGATCAGTTTATGTACTTTTAAACAGATTTGATTTGCTGGAAAAGGTTTGAAATCATTATTTCCAGTGCTGGTGTGTGTTTGCGGTCAACACAGATGCAAGTTCTTAAGTTGGTGTAGTATGTTTTGTCTTAAATATTGCTATCCATTTGGAATTTAAGAGATAAAAGGATCATGTGCACTTCTGTGTGGGGAATTTAAAAGTCATTATCAAAGAAAGCTGAGTTCTCTGAGCTGAATAAATTCTGTGATTTGAATAAATTATACAGACTGAGAAAAACTGATGTATTTTAGCTTTCCACATAGCCTCCACTACTACCACCACTGAAAATCCCACTTAGCCCTCTTTAGCCTCAAAGATTTCATGAAGCTTGTCTACTTTCTTTCAAGCCTATTTTAACACCCATAAGGGATAGAAACATGAAAAGAGAAATTTGAGGTTCTCAGGGTGCTATATTCTGCATCGAACATCACATTTCCACATAAACATCCACATCTGCTTCTCCTTTGACTATATCACTTATGAATAACATTCCACATTTTGTTGTCTTGCAGAGTTTAATTGCTGTGTTTGAAAACATCACAAAAACCAACATAGCAGCTTTGGTTGTTGGACTAATTTGCATGGTTTTGTTGCTGAGTGGTAAAGAAATCAACGACCGCCTAAAGAAGAAACTTCCAGTCCCTATCCCTATGGAGATCATTGTAGTAAGTGAGGGATAAGAAGGGGTGTCTTAAGTATGTCCTCTTAAGCATGGTTTGGAATGTCATTCACTGTGCAGACAAAACTTCAGACTGAACTCCCTCTTGGATTAGCTTCCAAGTTTTCTTATTGTAACCAAGTTGCCTCTTGTTTCATGTGTGTTCCTTTTAAAGGTGGTAATTGGTACTGGAGCTTCAGCTGGGATGAATCTGTCAAAGACTTACGGAGTGGATGTTGTTGGCCATATCCCCAAAGGGTAAGGATGAGGAATTAAACATATCTTTTTAGCCCTCTGTAGTTTAATACAGTCAGTCGATAATAGTTTTTCCTTTTTAATTCCTTGCAGATTACGTCCTCCACAGGTACCAGATATCAGCCTCATCCCAGCGGTATTTGTGGATGCAATAGCCATAGCACTTGTTGGATTTTCCATGACAATCTCCATGGCCAAAATCTTTGCTCTCAAGCATGGCTATAAAGTTGATGGAAATCAGGTAATTTGAATGTAATATATGTCTTTCACTATCTGGTCAAAAGCCTGTTGAAATTGGTGGGAATTTTTTCCAAAAGCTAGTTGCTGAAGACACACTTATCTGAAAAATAGCTTCCCTACATTTCCAGGGCCCAGAGAAGATGTGACATTCCTGACGTCCTAACCATGGTTAGGTTGGAAACATTAAATATGCACTGGCCTCGTATCCTAATTGAAGAAGTCCTATGAGTTGGCAAGAGAAGATTCTTCCATTAGAAAGATTTGTTTTCAGTACACATGCTGCCTATCCAGTCAATCTAATACAGTCAAACCTCAGTTGTCAAACATAATCCATTCCGGAAAACCGTTTGACTTCCAAAACGTTTGACAACCAAAAACTGAATGCAGAAGCCTCAGTACAATAGGGGAACACAAAACGGAAGCCGTGTAGCGCGTTCGGCTTCTGAAAATGGTGCGAAAACCAGAACTTTTACTTCCGGGTTTTTGGCATTTGAGAGCCGAAACGTACGATAATGGAGGCGTTCGGCAGCCGAGGTTTAACTGTAACAACAAAGAACCCTTCCTTGCAAGTTTCGTGCAGGCCACTTCAGCTTTACAAAGGTTTTGAAATCTTCGTTTTGTGCTTATGGACTTTAAGAACATTGTTTCCATTTTTTAAAATTCAGTGCTTAAATTATCTTTATCCAGTCCCCCCCTCCCCAATTAGTTGCAAAGCAGTTTCTTATTTAGGAGATAATAGTCACGTGTAGAAGTTTGGTATGTATCTGTGGCAATGTTCAGCATGACTTCTGCTGGGGGGAGAGAGAGAGAGAGAGAGAGAGAACAGAATGCTAGACTAGATGGGCCATTGGCCTGATCCAGCATCCCATCTTATGTTCTTACTACTTTTGTTCTCCTGCTTTTTCTGTGTTGACAGGAACTCATTGCTTTAGGCATATGCAATTCTGCAGGATCGTTTTTCCAGACCTTTGCTATAACTTGCTCAATGTCCCGGAGTCTTGTCCAGGAGGGCACTGGTGGAAAGACTCAGGTATGTGTATTTAGGTTTCACTTGTCCTTCCTGCAGGGCAGCGTTCAAAAGTCCCATTGTTCCTGGCTTGTTTTGCGACAGGGAATTTCATGAATGCAAGCAGTTTCTGAGCTCTGGGTGCAGTACTGCACCTAAGATTTCAGATTAAAATTTCCAATTTCTGGAAGGAAAGGAGGACCTTTTTCTGCCTCCCCACTTCCAGCCACTCTCTGAAGACTGGAGAAGGGACCCTCGTAAGAATCTTAGGGGGACAGGCAGGGGAAGTATGGCTTGGTTTTTTGCAGTCTTCAGATGAGGACCAGACCATGTAAAAAATGAACATAAGATTTTAACTGCAGTTCATTTTCGGCTTTGTATTCATGTTATAAAAAAGCATGCCCAGACGCTTTGTTGCAGCACCCGTAACCTAGGTTTAAGGTACCTAGCTTTCATATCTCAGTTTCAAACACCACCGCAGGGAGGTGATGATGATTATTATGAAGATGATGGTGATGATTAGAATACTGCCCTTCATCCACAGATCTCAGGGTGGTTCACAACATTACAATATAAAAACCACAAAATACATAATAAAATCAAACCAATAATCTCCCCTCCCACAACACATTAAAAGGGTTGTCAATCAGCCAAAGGCCTGGTTGAAGAGGAACGTTTTTGCCTGCCAACTAAAGGTGTTTAATGAAGGCGCCAGCTGCGCCTCCCTGGGCAGAGCATTCCACAAACAGGGAGCCACTGCAGACGATACCTGTTCTCATGTTGCCACCCTCCGGACTTCACGTGGAGAAGGTACACAAAGAAGGGCCGCACAGGATTATCTCGGGGTCCAGGTCAGCTCATATGGAGAGAGGTGGTCCTTGAGTTATTATGGTCCTGAGCTGTTTAAGCCTTTATAGGTCAAAACCAGCACTTTGAATTGGGCCTGGAAACTAATTGGTAGCCCGTGCAGTCGGGCCAGGATTGGTGTAATATGCTGAAATTGTCTTGCTCTAGTGAGCAACCTAGCTGCCAAATTCTGCACTACCTGCAGTTTCTGAACCATCCTCAGAGGTAACACGTTGCAGTAATCTAGGCTACCAGAGCATAGACAGCAGTAGTTAGACTGTCCCTGTCCAGATAAGAGATCAGGGTCATATACCTTGGACTTTCCCATTTTATCCTCACTTTTGGGGGCCAGCTTAGGCTAAATAAGTGGAATTACCCCAGGGCCATCTAGTGAGCAGGGATCTGTATCTATATCTTCCTGCCTCCCCCAATTCTGTCCAAGTCCACATACTCCGTATTTGCTACTCTGTATGCAACATGTGATGTATGTAAATTTAGTTGATGCCTCTTCTTGTGAGTGTTATTGCTTATGGCATCAGTGTGCTTGCTTAAGCAGACTCGATC